TTGAGATATGAAAACCTATCCCGATCGGGATTAGGCATGCACCGGTCAATAATCGATGTTAGGGCATTCAGCAAAGTCGTTGCGAATCAGTTATGAAAAAGCACTTAGAGCTACCGAATGTCTCATTTTGTAGAAAAATGTTTGCTCTGTCAAACTGAAGTGCAAAAGGGACATTTTAGTGTTATCTGTAGCAGAAATATAAGCATCCAAAACTGAGCAAAATTGCGACTATCGATTATTTTTCTACGATTTTAGTGCGTTTTCGATATATAACATTAAAATTTTTGTAGCACTTCAGTTTGGTAGAGCAAACATTTTTTCTACAAAATGAGACATTCGGCAGCTCTAAGTGCTTTTTATAACTGATTTGGAATATCGATTATTAATCGGTGCATGCCTAATTGGGTTATATTTTGATTCAAAACGGGATATAAAGCATGCGTCTGTACTGTAAAAGTAGGCCGAACTCAAGCGATCCAATACCCAATAATATTGTAAAAACCCAATATATTGGGTGACCAATATTATCGGTCCCAATATGTTGAGTGACCAATATTATTGAGGGGGGTATATTGTATTGGTGCATGCCTAGTTTCACCTCAGCACTCTGAATTAGACTTAAAACATCTTCAGGTTATGGTGGTTAACGTTTTGTTGACGAACATTTTATCAATGAGGTTTCATCTCAGATTTTTCATTTCTTGAATGTGTTCAGATAATAAAGCAGAACAACTTGTCGGTTGATCAGTGAGCAGGGTCGAATCACTCTAAAAAACTTTCGCAGAACCAAACAGTAGTTAATTAAATTTTTTTTGGATGGTATGTTTGACTCGAAAGGTTCATCTTTACTAAATTTAAAATGATTTAAATTCGTTATACAACGCAGGGTTCAGTTTGCAGTTAAAACTGAAAGTTGGAAAACTATTCCTGATTCAGTGGTAGATACTGTATATACTGAAAAAATCGAATCTTTTGTCTGCAATTAGACCAAGTTGCATAGACAGAAACAATATAAAAATTGATATGAGTTATAAAACTTCAAAAGCTGCTGCGACCACCAATGCTGGGAGTCATTAAGAAATGTCGAACAGAAAATATTCAAGAATGGTCTGTTTAAGTTTATTCTAAGAGAGAACAGCTGATTTTAAATACTTACAATAATTTCATGAAATGAAATGTCATATTTGCATGTACGAGGATGCAACGCGTTGAAAAGCTTTATTTCGGACACATTGTAGCGAGTTTATATTGAAAACATCACTTTCTCTAACCGCTCAAGTGTTTCGCTCCAATAGCGCGAAATTACATGCTTTATGTTTCAAGTCATCTGTTCGTTCGATTATAAAGTAACAATAAGAAAGATGTTTTTCTCTTAAATGAAATTAATATTTATGTCAATAAATGAACAGAGCAATGAGCGTTACCAGTAAATTAATTGGATTGAATAATATTTTTATAGATCCACATGCTGCTTCAACGATATTTCCAGTTAAACAATCATCAGGATTACGTATACGACATGTACCTTGATTACATGTAACATCACCACATAATTGTCCTATATCATTCGAACTGACTTGTGTTGCTATACAACCACTACCTTTACAACATTTATATAAACATCGATAATAATAGTACAGTGAATTTTATCATGTTTCACTTCATATAATTGAATTAATCTATAAAACAGACCACAAATAAATTTAGTGATCACGATTATTTCCATAACATTCAATCTCTTGCCTCATTCATTCAACTTGGCTGATTTCATCTCCTAATAAACTGAAATATGTATAAGAAAAGCGAGCATTGCTGTATCTTGGTATCAAGTTCTCTTATCATGAAAGACTGTTGAAGAGATTAAAAACTACATCAAAAACCTCTGTCAGCTAATATGCACTCCTTGGCAGTTGAGTAGGTAGAGTGAAATATCTAGTTTCAAAGAGTGTATGATTTTTATAGATATTCTATTATATTTTGCTAAAAGTTGTTTTTCGATCTCCATCGCTGTGTTTTCCGACAAAAATTCCCTTGTCGATTTTGTCACTAACTATGGCACTTAGAACAAAACCTCCTGCGCCAATTAAATAGAGCATAAGTTGGAGTACATGACCTGCTATCCCAATCTTGAAAAAGTTCAGTTTCGTTTTTTCATCTAATGTTCACGTGGTTCTCCACTGTGCGTCAAACGGGTAAGTAAACATAAGCGTGAATAGTTGTTTCTCCCTATGCGTTAAGCGTACCCCACTCTTTTTTGACCCTCTTGGAAACCGGGGAAACCGAAGTCGGATCAGGGTGAAATTTATACCAGAGATGCAACATCGAAGAACAAAAGTCGATGTAGTTTTGCCCAGAATCTTCTAAAATGTTCTTCTATGGGAACTTCCTGAAAAACTCCAGTTTTCATCGGACCACATTACGACGCCACGAAAAAATGGTCCGATCAAGCCCAAAATTTTACCGCAGATTCTTCAGACCTGCCAAAAGAATACGGTTTCCTTCTCGAGTTACTCGAAAAATCCTAAAAGTCACGCAAAATAAACCGAAAAAACCTGACTGCGTTTGCGAACATCAACTAATGAAATAGCACTGACAGTGGAGAAGGCACAGTGGGCAATTTTGAATAGGCACATGGACATACGCTGTAGAAGTGGTAGATAAGTCTATAAACACACTTTTTATAGGGTTTCGAATATGCTCTGTCCAACGGTGAGATTTTGAAAATCCTAAAATAATTTTTCCTGGGTTTTCTGAAGACCGGATCTCTAGAAAACCCAGAAAAAATTATTTTAGGATTTTCAAAATCTCATCGTTGCACAGAGCATATTCGAAACCCTATAAAAAGTGTGTTTATAGGCTTATCTACCACTCCTACAGCATATGTCTACATGCATAGTGAAAATTTGCTGCGATAGTGCTCCTACGCTACGAATCAGAGTGATTGAAAACTTTTCTGTAGAAAAATATTTTGAATTCTATATCATTCGATGCAGCTTTCACGCTGATTCGGAATATGTCCTTACGTTTTAGCCAGGACCATTGGTTGATGAAAAAAACTCTAAAAACCCTCTAAAAAACCAGGGTTTTTGAAAAATTCATAACTCTGGAACGGAAAAAAAGAGCATCTTTGAGCATGTTTTGTAGGCGGCCCACCTACAGCTAAACAATTGCTGAAAATTTCAGTTTCGACGGACTTGAGGAAACTTTAGGCAATTCACTTTCCTGAAAATCGGTTTCGAGAAAACACTTAACGCCGAAAGAAGTTAATTTCTCTCACGTAGGAAAGAGTCAACCTGAGACCTTCTTTTACCAGTCGATAGCCAAAATAAATAGCTTTCAGAATATATATTTTTTAAATTTTAAATGTGTTTGCTCTTCTCAGAAAAAGTGATTTTTTTATAGAACGCAACCGCTAAAAATTGAGACTTCACTTTCTCAGTCATCTTAAGCATTTGGCTCAAAACGTTTTCGCCGTTAGATCGGCCATTTAGTAGTGTATATATGTCACTATTTAAATCCTGAAAAATCTCGCTTTCGATTTTTCTCCTAATGTCCGCCTGATTGTCCACTGTGGAAGGGAAAGCCCTACGGCTACTGATTTTCCAGCGTAAAATCTAGACTGCGCGTTGGGTGCTGAACCCATGCTTCTTCATTTTTCGCGCCTCTCCATCTTCTTCCTACCGTCAAGGAATTAAATAGACATCGTATGCTGTGAAGATGAAAGCTATCAAATTTTCAGCTTCTTGGCCTATAACATAGCATTTTCGAAGAATTATTGAAGTACTTTCGAGAAAAAGATTTGAATTCTCTATACTCGCAGTATTAATGATTTAGAAGTATACAAAATACAGAGATACTTAGCCCTTCTATTTTAGCTTAACATGTGAGCATGTACAATCGAGTGCGGCGCATCCAATGGTACAAACCCGACCTTGTAAAATCATATTATCCTTCAAATAGAAAACTCCAAACAAGTGTCTTAAAATGACTTTTCACAAAGTAAAATCGAGTTAGCGTTCCAAATAATGGCTATGGGGAAGAACGCTTTATGCCAATCGTGATCAGCTCGTCGAGCTCTACAAACCAGGATATATCCCATTTGCATATCCCAATTGCATCTGAATCTATGCAATTTCAGAATGGTGAATTATCAAGTGAACACATAGAAATGTTTTTTCCTCTTTTGTTTTTATTTAAAAGAAAACAATTCGAATCTAACCAATTCCAGAATGATGGATTGCCCATAAAAGAGTAAGAAATGCTATCGGCCTTTGTTTTTATTTAAAAAGACATTAGAATATATGCCAACTCAGAATGTTGAATTCTCATTGAAAGACTAAGAAAGGATTTCTGTCTTTTGTCGTTATTAAAAATAGATTAGAAGCCATGTAATCTCAGAATGATGGATTTTAAGTGAAAGATTAAGAAATGCATTCTGCCCTTTCTCTTTATTAAAAATAAATGAGAATGTATGCAATTCTAGAATGATGGATTGTCCGCGAGAGCGTAAGAAATGCTTCTTGCCTTTTGTGTTTATTTAAGAAAAAGATTAGAGTCTATGTAGCTCAAGACTCGTGGATTATCAGCGAAATAGTAAGAAATGCCTTTTGGTTTCTGCTTGATTTTTTGAGGAAGGATCTGAAGCTATGCAATTTCAGAATGGTGAATTATCAAGTAAACACATAGAAATGCTTTTTCCTCTTTTGTTTTTATTTAAAAGAAAACAATTAGAATCTAACCAATTCTAGAATGATGGATTGCCAATGAAAGAGTAAGAAGTGCTATCGGCCTTTTGTTTTTATTTAAAAAGACATTACAGTTCTTTCCTTTCGATTCCGAGCTAGTGAGTGGATGTAAAACATTCTTTTATACTGCAACTTTTAAGTTTAGATTCAAATAAATCAGGCTTAAATTTTGTCGACAAGGTAATTGAAGAAGCTTCGGTCAAATTGCACGAGCCTGTGCACGATACTGAATCGCTTAAGCGATGGAAGACACAGATGTTCAATTTCATCAATACAATCGCCGAGCTCCAGCTATCTTCTTCGCCACAAGTTAGTCAAGAAAAGCCGTCTCTTCATCCTGTCGACTGGGTATCAGCTCGATGTGTGGCACATCAAATGCTTGATGCATCGCTGGATCATATTCAATCTATAGGAGATCGACCTGTCTGGCCACCGATCCCAGATGATGTTCGCGCAGCACTCGAGAACGAACCACTTCCTGAACAAGGTCGATCCCTCTCGGATGTCTGTCGCGATGTGTCCACTTATGTGATACCTTGTGCCTCTACGAATATACATCCTCGCTTTTTTGGCTGGGTGATAAGTGCAGGCACTTTGGGCGGTGTACTAGCCGATATGATAGCAGCAACACTAAATACAAATACCGGCGGGGGCGCTCATAGTGCTTCGCTTGTCGAGCGAACTGTCGTTGAGTGGATGCGTCAATTGTTCGGTTTCCCGGAAGCAAGAACTGGTGGAATACTCGTCAGTGGAACATCCATGGCGACTGTGATCAGGAGGGCAACGGCTCGACGATGGGCACTAGCGAATAGCCCGCAACTGGTTGCTTATGCATTGACGGAAGTGCATGGATGCGTTGCCAAGGCATTTGCGCTGTTGGCACTCGGATCAAAAGCATTGCACCTTGTACCGGTTGATGATAATTTTCGGATTAAAGTCGACGAACCAAGAATGATAATTAGAAGTGATTGTGGTAAGGGTCGTACCCTCTTTTGCATAATTGGAAATGCAGGTAAGTGTAGTGTAGAAGTCTAACTGTATGTTTGTGTTTAGATCTGCTCTGTCAAAATGCTATTTTGCTAAGACAGCAAACAAAACATTTTGAAGAAATCTTCTAGTAAGCCGCCCGATAACATTGCTGCTTGATAGCGAGTTCTATGTTCTCACAAGTGTTGCTAAATGGTCCGTTAATATCGAAGTTATAGAATTTGAATGATATATTCAAATCGCGAAAGTCATATAAAGACGGCGGTATGGAGCAGATGCTTTGTGACCTTCCTCGAAAGGTCGAATTTCTAGAATCTTTATTACTACGAATTGATCAGATATATCGAACATCCTAGTTTCGAAGCAGAACTTGACACAAATGCTCTCGACAATGTGTTGCGCATTTCGTGAGCAGTCTTCAAAGTATCTCATATCTCTGTGCAGTTTCTTGTATAACTAACCCAAAACATTCGGTCGTTTTTACTTGGGTTCTTCTTTTCAAATAAAGAAGGCATCACGGTAATGTCATTCGCGGGAATGTCGGTGTACAGGAATTCAGAAACTGCATTCATCTGTTTCTAATCCCAGAAAGGTTAAACAACTCAAGAACTCGGAAACAGCCGTCAACGATTTTTCTTAATTCAAAGAATTCAGAAACTGATACATTGAATTCATCTTTTTACAACACCACACTACGCTTACAAAGAGACTTCCTATTTGTTAGTCTCTGAATTAAAACTTGTGTATTCTCTTAATTCCTCAGTACTAGAATTCCAAGAATTGTTCAAACCGATTCGATGTAAGTTCAGAGAACTTACAAAGAATTTACAATGATCATTTGTCAATCCTCTGATTTTTGGTGAAGATCTTTTCATATTTGGAACACGATGAAGTGGAAAAATAGTTTTTAACAAAAATGAAGAAGAAAAATGATGTAGAAGCTATGCGGCTTGTCCAACTAACCGTTTCCCTTCAAGGTTTTCAAAATAGTAAAAATAATGTAGTTTACGTCGAAGAAATCCCTATTCATTTAAGAGAAATATACAAGGTAAAGTATTTAAATAGTGTTATGTTTTGAGGTACGATTTGTACGAACAGT